GTGGGCATCGTCGCTCCCTGGCGTCAGATGTTTACACAGGATTGCATACTAAATATTCACGCGTCAGGGGCCTAGGTGGTCTTGAGGCTTGGAACCGCCTCGAGTGCTGGAGGTCCCGGGTTCAGGCTCCCGTGAAGGCTGGAATTTGTTCACGTGCACTTTGGTAATTTCCTGTGGTCTTTGGGTAGTAAGATCGGACGCTTGTGTGTTTTTCATGGCGCACGTAAACAGTCCAATGGCAGTTGGAAATCGAAAAGAATAGACTAACAGCGCAGCCCGGGCAAAATGTTGAGATAAAAACCTACCCACCGTATTTCAGGATCCTCGCCGGTGCTACTGAGTTCGTGCACTGCGATGAAATTCAGGCTTGAGTTAGAAGTAGAAAGGGGCGCTCATATGTTATCACGTTTGTGCCATGAAGTTGATCCGCTCCACGAGTCAGCGTGGCCTCATTTCTGTGATGAACATGCAACCGGTTTTGCGAAAGTTAAAAAAAAAATCCTTCTGCCTTTATTTTACTTTACTTCCGTTGTCATCAAAAATTATTAAATTGTAAATAAAACTCCAGCCACTGAAGACTCAAACATAACCAGGGCTATGAGTGCCTTATGAAGTTACCCACAGTGTGGGCCCACTGTGGCGAGTGGTTAGCTACTGGCGTGCGGATTCGAAGATCGGGGGTTTGGATCCTATCCTACTTAGACTTGTTTCGTCGTTAATTTCAGTCTTGTAAAGTAAAGGCTTCCTCACAGTCTCTACACAAGTGAAGAAAATGAAGGGTGTCTTTACATTATTATTATATACTGGTCTTAAGCCTATTGTTTTAAAGTCCACAACCGACCCAGACCTAAACGGAAGATTAACCCCACCGCAGGCTTATATCATTCTTGAAAGTCAGTTTTTAAATAATTATGTTGTTTGTTGAATGGTAATGAGGCCCGTGGATGCAGACACGGCTATTGGCCTGGCGTTTGTTACCCAATCAACAGTAATGGATACCAAATGGACTGTTCTGGGGGATCATGGAAGTGATCATTTGCGATGGTCGGTATTGATCTCCAAATCCAGTAAAGTCAAGGCTTCAAAAGCTCTTAAAAGTCTTTTAAGTAGGAGCGGACAAGCACCCTTCTTGGATGCCTCTGACATTCCGATTCCTTTTAAGAAAAAAAAAAAAGGTCGGCCACTTTCAGACTGCTGCTTAGCTAGCCGAAGCTGCTAATAGTCTTCGCCAATATTTGTGGTCTGGGTTATTTGCGTCACTTTCGTGACTAAATTTCTATTATTTGCATCGTCTCTGGGCTGAATGCTTCCTTTCGAGTTAGACCGCTCGTCATCCACCCTGTTGTTAGCTGTGCATTTCTTTCCTTTTCTTACTTGGTGTTTCTTCTTGGTTTCATCTCCCTTTGATTTGGCCAGGCGTATTCGTAGGAGATCGAGCTTTTCTACACAACTTCTTTGGACCACCATTTATAGTTTTAAAATTTTGAGTATTTTACTTTGCCAGAAAGTACTGAAAACAGTTTTTGATTTTGGAAAGTTGCGAAATGTGAAAATATTCCGCGTGTGACCAAAGTAGTCTTATAGTTGTCTTGCTGCAATAGGACCGGGCTAGTCATGTCGTGGATGTGTGTGTGAAATATTAGGTTGAGACTCAAGGCGGTTCTGTTCGTCATTTGATCCAATTGTGTCGGTTTGGGTTGGCAGCTAGGCTCCAGTGTACGTAAATACCATATACCCGGAACACCCAGCTCACGCTTTGAGATCCAAGTGTTCGGCGATGGGAATAGCTGTGGCATGTTGGGTACCGAACTCAAGTGCTCTCTGTAGGAATGGGGTAGGGGATTTAACTCATAGTGCATCCGGAAGAGGTAATGAAGGGTGAGGGGAAAGAGGGCGGGATGCCATTCAGTCATTTCTCGTCGTGCCGTCTTGCTAGATTCTAGCGTGGTCTTTAGCCGGGAATATACTATTAAGTCACCAACCTTTGCTATCAGCCCACTGATGGGGTGGAATTGGTGGTTAAGTGTTCTAGTCCTGTCAGTATCGATCTACTTGTTTTCCATATTTGCTGTCATTCATATCCTCTTGTGAGCCCCACCAGTCATGTTATTGTTGTATGCATGATGTGGAATGAGATGGTTTGGAGTATGAATCCCCAGAATATATGAACGCACACAACTAGGTGCATTCGAGAATTCATACACTCAGACAACACTACATGTTTGCACTTCCTTTCATACTTATATGTGTATGCATACCTATTTATCACATAAAAGAGGATGCATGTGTACGGAATGTAAAATAGTATTTTACATTCCGTACACATGCATCCTCTTTCATGTGTCTACATAAATGCACTTACATTCATGAAAAACGTGTACATCCACACGTAAGGACACTCATGCTTCCATGTCTTGCATGTTATTTACTGTGTCGCTATGTCTGTAATATCGTCTGGTCGTGTCACTTTTTAAGTTATGTCCCGTTACTGGTATGTGACCTGTCCGGTACTGTCTTATCATGTTCCGGTGGATCGTGTGTGCTGATGAGGTTCTTGCTCATGTACACACTTCATTCCATTTATTCTCATTAATTAACAGGTTCGTGCGATTTCACACGTATGAATGCACTCGTTCACCGTATAGTCCCATGCAACAGCATAATTTATGGGTTCCCGGAGTGCACACACACACACACACGTATATATAAATATATATATATATATATACATGCATGCACATATACATTTCTATATCCATGTAATCGTTCATCTGTACCTTTCACACATCTATATTTCCACTTTTCTGTCCATATGTGACCCATTACCATTCGCCTATATACATCTTTTCTTATGTATCCATACATAAATGCACCCATACTACACGCACTCTTCCTTGTGTATCCACACGTACTTAATCTATGCACCCAATATACTTACACTATCTCCCTCACGCTAGTGTGTCAAGAGTCACCACATGACCTGTTCCTTCTGCTGTCCTGAGCTGATCTCCAACCTGGTCTTTTTAGGAACAATTAATTAAAATGAAGCAAACAGCTGAATCCTAGAAACTGAAACACAAACTCGAGTACATTTCAAACTGTTTCACCAAGGTAAGCGTAGGGAAACGACCATTTCTTTTTGCCTACATAGATCCGGTTTCAATCGCCCAATCGCGGAAGCTTCCGCGTATCGAAGTAATCTACAGTTTTCCGAATTGTAAATAATTCGAAATGCATCATCCCTGTTAATGATGTGCCCGGAATTTAGAATATGGCAGGCTATTGCTGATGATGGATTATTTCGACCAGTCACCTGATCTGTTGTTGAGGTTTTAGTGTTCTGCATTGCTTTTACCAACCATAGTGGAATATGTTCAGCCACCCGTTGTTCCAGTCGTCGATCAGTTCTGCCCACATATGCAGCTGCATTTAAATTTAAATCAAATTTGTGTTTCAGTTTCTAGGATTCAGCTATTTGCTTCATTTTAATTAATTGTTACTGTAGTATGCACCTGACGAGATACAGCGAAATATGCCAAGCAATAAATTGTGCAGTCTATTGTTTGTGTCTTCTTTGTACAAAAACTTTTGTCTATCAGGCTTGTGTTCTCAGCACTCTTGCTTTATATCGGTGAAACTTGGTCAACTTTTTCGCACCAGGAGAAACGGCTAAATGGCTTTCACATACTGTGCCAAAGAATACTTGCATTAAGTGGCAGAATAAGATCACAAAAACAGGAATTGGAAACAGCAAGTACTAAAAGTGTTCTTAATGTTCATTCTACGAAGGCTCAGGTGATTTGGTCACACCTGGAGAATGGAGGTTGGCAGAGTCCATAAGGACATCCTCTTCGGTGAATTAAAGATGGGTAGAACATGTTCAGGACTACCTCTACTGCTATACAAATATGTGTGCAAACAGGACATGAATCATATAGGTATAGAAGCAGACTCATTGGAACAAAATGCCATGGACTGTGTTGTGTGGAGCAAGCGCATCAGGAGGGGAATGAGAATCAAGTCAGAAATAATTGCAGAAAAGAGGAGAGCCTTTTTTTTTCCTTAGTTTAAAAAAAAAAAAAAACCAGTCACTCAGCATTACCTATGCACATAATTTCACATGAACTTTACTGTAACCAGCTCTACACCCAACCCCTTTTTAAAAAAAACACTCTTTCTATCCATACATGTGATTTCGTTAGCAGGTATTCCCACGGTCAAAATTGGGCATAATTTTGTCCTCTGAGATATACTGTAACCAAAATATATCTTTTCTCTTAGCCATCTCATCCCGAACACAATAAAAATATGGGCAAGTATCGAAGTTATAAGTCATATAATTAAAGTGTTTTCCTAACTTCGTGTAGGCTTCAGATTATACTTATTTTGCACTTTAAATAATGAGTGTAGAATATAGTTGACTAAAGTCAATGTATCCAAATGTAAACAATGATTGCTAAAGAAAACTGGGGGGGGAAAAAAGGGAGGGGAATAAACAAAAATATAACTCAGAAATAATGACAATATTTTAAAAACATCAGATTAGTAAAGTGATGCATGTAGTTTCTAAATGCGTATTTCATAGAAAAAAATGGCCCCGCCCCCAAAAAATGTTTTCACATGTTGTAGGGATCTTCTAGCAATCAAACAGACTTGCTTGTTATTCACTGAAAATAACAATCAGATTATGAATATGAAAACCAAGACTGAAAACATTCTGTTGGCATGTAATTTTTATTTATTGTAGATCTTTTTTCACAAGCACATATTTTCTCAAATTAGATTCTGAACATGACCAAGCCTCAAATAATACTCCAATACACATAAATTACAATATTAGCAAGGCAGATGTGATTGTACTTTCAATTATTGTAAACAACTTCACAAAAGTGACATGCTACTTTGAATGTGAAAACTGTCAATGGTATCAGTGAAATCTAAAAATACACTGCTGTTATCAATGAAATTGGAGGAATCAGTCTATCTCATGACAGATGTGGCTAATGAGATGTTGGTTGTGATGATGTTTCTACTGTAGAAAATGTGCTGCTGGTGTCCAGTGGCGGGCAGACATCTTCCACTTTTTGGAAGACGAACACTAGGTATAATGCTGAAATTAGAATACACAATAACAATCAATATTTTACACAAAGACAGTGTTACATTTAGGAGATAAAACTAATAAATTATCCTGACCAATCTGAACATATGTGGTACAAGCTGTAAAACTCTTCTTCTGAAAGCCCTAAAACATGATGAGACTCTTTATTCTAAAGAGCACAGAGGCCAAGAGTTCATTTTATTTAATGTGTTAGTATGTAACTTTACAGTAATATTACTGTCTACTACCATACAGATACTAGGGTTAAATCCCCCTCACCCTTTTAATAAACACACATAACTGACTGACACGAAGCTAGCAAATCACTACCATAACAGAAGAAGAATGATATTTTAAAAAAAAAGTTATTTCCACACCCCAGATGTGAATTAAAAGAATATGCAAACACTAGCGCTGCTTGTATGTTTTAGCAAACACTAGCACTGCTTGTGAGTATGTTTTAGCAAACACTAGCGCTGCTTGTATGTTTTAGCAAACACTAGCGCTGCTTGTGAGTATGTTTTAGCAAACACTAGCGCTGCTTGTATGTTTTAGCAAACACTAGCGCTGCTTGTGAGTATGCTTTAGCAAACACTAGCGCTGCTTGTGAGTATGTTTTAGCAAACACTAGCGCTGCTTGTGAGTATGTTTTAGCAAACACTAGCGCTGCTTGTGAGTATGTTTTAGCAAACACTAGCGCTGCTTGTGAGTATGTTTTAGCAAACACTAGCGCTGCTTGTGAGTATGCTTTAGCAAACACTAGCGCTGCTTGTGAGTATGTTTTAGCAAACACTAGCGCTGCTTGTGAGTATGTTTTAGCAAACACTAGCGCTGCTTGTGAGTATGTTTTAGCAAACACTAGCGCTGCTTGTATGTTTTAGCAAACACTAGCGCTGCTTGTGAGTATGCTTTAGCAAACACTAGCGCTGCTTGTGAGTATGTTTTAGCAAACACTAGCGCTGCTTGTATGTTTTAGCAAACACTGGCGCTGCTTGTGAGTATGTTTTAGCAAACACTAGCGCTGCTTGTGAGTATGTTTTAGCAAACACTGGCGCTGCTTGTGAGTATGTTTTAGCAAACACTAGCGCTGCTTGTGAGTATGCTTTAGCAAACACTAGCGCTGCTTGTATGTTTTAGCAAACACTGGCGTTGCTTGTGAGTATGTTTTAGCAAACACTAGCGCTGCTTGTGAGTATGTTTTAGCAAACACTGGCGCTGCTTGTGAGTATGCTTTAGCAAACACTAGCGCTGCTTGTATGTTTTAGCAAACACTAGCGCTGCTTGTGAGTATGTTTTAGCAAACACTAGCACTGCTTGTGAGTATGTTTTAGCAAACACTAGCGCTGCTTGTGAGTATGTTTTAGCAAACACTAGCGCTGCTTGTGAGTATGTTTTAGCAAACACTAGCGCTGCTTGTGAGTATGTTTTAGCAAACACTAGCACTGCTTGTGAGTATGTTTTAGCAAACACTAGCGCTGCCTGTGAGTATGTTTTAGCAAACACTAGCGCTGCTTGTATGTTTTAGCAAACACTAGCACTGCTTGTGAGTATGCTTTAGCAAACACTAGCGCTGCTTGTGAGTATGTTTTAGCAAACACTGGCGCTGCTTGTGAGTATGTTTTAGCAAACACTAGCGCTGCTTGTGAGTATGTTTTAGCAAACACTGGCGCTGCTTGTGAGTATGTTTTAGCAAACACTAGCTGAGTATGTTTTACTAACATAAATTATGTTCGTCCATGTGAATTATTCAATGTACTAACATAAATTATGTTCGTTCATGTGAATTATTCAATGTACACAAGTGCAATATTAACTAGGGTTGTACCGAATAGTGATTTTCACTATTTGGTGGAATACGAATAATGGGACCAACTAGTGGGCCGAATACGAATACGAATAGTGTAGCATTAAAAAACAAAACAAAAAACATTCATAACATCAAATGTACGCTGACATTTTACTTCACATAAAGTAGCACAGAATAGTCATCTTCTTCTTTAGCATTCTGAGCCCTTGAGCACATACCACTCGTCTCCATTCATCTCTCTGACTGGCCTTATCTTCACAATTTGTGACACCAGTTGTTTGCAGGTCTGGCTGGACATTATCTCTCAAACTTCTTTTTTGTCTGCTTCGTGGTCTACGCCCATTCCTCTCTCAGGTGTATACAGTTTTTGTTCTGTCATCTGACATTCTTTCAATATGCCCCAAACATTTTAGTCTGTTAGCTCTCATAATGCCGGTGATCAATGGTGATTTAAACAGATTATGCGTTACGTTGTTGCTTCTCACTCTCCGTTCCCCGCTGTTGGCATCTTTGATGGGTCCAAAAATTTGTTGTAAGAGTGTATTCGAAAACCTGTAATAAGGCCTCATCTCTTTTATTTCTGCTTCAAGTTTCAGAGCCATATAAAATGACTGGTCTAATCAACGTTTTATATATTTTGATCTTGGTGCTGCGAGACCGACGCTTTGACGTTAGCAGATGTTGAAGGGCATAGTATACTTTATTTCAAAACTTTTTTGTTTTGCATCCTTCAGTCAGTCTGTGGTAACTAATAACTAGGAAGGAAAGAATCTTAAGTATTAAAACAAGTAACTTAACTTGGAAATTGTCACTGACAGCTTAGTTAATGCAGGAAAGCTGCATTAGCTTTCAACAAAACCAATCGTTCCATGTTGTCAGCATTAAGGCAGTGTATGCAAAAGTGGGTGTAAGGTAACTACTATTCGTATTCGGCCGAATACTGAATAGTCAATAGGTCCACTATTTGGCCCCGAAGCGAATATTCGGTTCAGCCCTAATATTAACCATAAAGTGAGACAGAGATTGACAATGACAAGCTCACGTACTTGCTGCTTCCCATTCTGCTTGTGAAAGTGTTCCCTGTAAATATTTAAGAAAACATCAGATACAACAATTAAAAGATGCCTGCATGTGGTATTATTAATTAAAACATTCAAAATGAAACATAAATACATGCAATTTACATAGTCAGAAATGAGGCTCAGGCATATCTGATATAAATGAATGAAGATACTCAATTGTACATAAGTCTCCTAACTGCTCTGGGCAAAGTTTGAACCCATCAGGATGAGGTGATATCACATGCAGTCAAGTAACCACTTTTGTACTGCCAATAAAAACATTGGAGAATGTTGTGTTCTTGTCTATACTATCACTTGTTCTCATCTGTCTATACTGCCATCTAGCGGCAGACAGCTATGATACTTTCACTACAGAGTGCCTCATATAACAGGTGCCAGTACGCAACAATTAAGTGTTATTACAGTAACACTGGGAGAAACAAATATTGCTTAAAATATTGCTAGTACTGCTAACCATCAGAGGAAAAAAAATAAAAGCCTGGCTTCTAAAATATTGTTTTGGCAAATCTTAATTTTGCCACCTCTTATTTTGAACAAAGGTAGGTTAAGGATTAACCCGTAAATTTACCCTAAAAAAATCTGTTTCGATGAGGATTCAAACCTATGACCACCAGAGTGCGAGTCAGTGAAATAGCAAGGCCTCCTCTCCACAGCAAGCAGAGGTTAGTCACTGAGAAGTAATTATATGCCCCTGCACTTAACTAATTTCATAGACAAAACTATTAACAAATACAAAATAAAACGTTTTATTTCCAAAAATCTAAGTATCCTGTCCACTCAACAAGTAATTTAACAGATGAATAAATTACAGAAATGATCACATTTTGAACTTTTTTAAGAAGTCATGATCATTTTGTCTGTGAAACATAAACAGAGATACTTACAATCTGTTTCTGCTGATACTGGCGACCGGACTGCTCTTTTTCCCCTGATTTAGACACCGATAATAAGAAATCCTTTGCCACTTGATAATCTTCATCTCTGCTACTTACAGTCTCTGCTCCTTCGACTGGTGGGTAAGGCTAAAATAAGATAGAATGTGAAAGGCAATAACAAATCAAAATGCAAAAATAAAAGTGCCTGAGAATTAGGTCAGAAAAAGATGGGGGGGGGGGGGGGGGGGGGGTGTGTGTGTGTACAAAAGAAACCATCTATTATTTGCCATTAAAGTAACAAATCCAGTTGATTGATACACAGCAGGTTTTCAGTATCAACAATTAAATTAAATGAAGAAATGACATCACTGCAGGCAGGGCATATGCATACATCAGCTCTTTCCTCAGTAGGCAATGAAAAGCCACCATGCTAACATAACCAACCGCAACCTAATTAAAAGTCTGCTCTTGTTTACCACCCACCCAGTGCTGAATATTGAGTACCTCCGCCTGTCCCATTAGTTTTTCAAGTTACCAAGGTTTGGATACTCTATTCATTCTGTTGCAGTGACCACTTGATCTCAGGCAGCCTTCATCATGTGCGCTTTATTATAAAGAAGCTTACTTCCCAGAGAAGCAGGAGCAACCAATCTATCAGCCTGTTCATTACCCAGTACATCTTGATTAAAAAATCAAATCAATGATACGATCCTGATCAGTTTTATCAGTAACTGTAAACCACTCTATGTGTAGGATGCCAGTTTCTGTTTTTTCAAAGCACGCTCCATAAATCCTTCATAACTGTAAACTACTCTATGTGTAGGATGCCAGTTTCTGTTTTTTTCAAAGCACGCTCCATAAATCCTTCATAACTGTAAACCACTCTATGTGTAGGATGCCAGTTTCTGTTTTTTCAAAGCACGCTCCATAAATCCTTCATAACTGTCAAATACTGGGCCATGCTGCTCTCAAGCCACTGGTAAGCTGCTGTCACTGACCTCACCTTCAATCTGATACTGGATGTTTTAACAGTCTCTAGTTCATTTTCTCCAATGATATCAATGTCATCTGCATATCCAAGTATTATCTGGATTCTCCTATAGTACACTCTTGTTTCAATTTCCTTATAACTTTCTCCAAGACCGGGTTGAAAAGAAGTGGGGACAGAGCATCAGCTTGATTTAAACCAGTTGTTATTTGAAAAGGGTCTGAATTTCTGCCTTTATATGTTATTATATTATTTATATTATAATACACTATATTATATTCTGAGTCGCACAGCATGATAATAGGTAACACCTGGTTTAAACACCATCCTCGAAGATTGTGGACTTGGAAAAGTTTTAGCGATAATGTCCATAATCAGATTGATTACATTTTGATTTCAAGAAGATTCTGGAGCAGATTAGTTGGAGCAAAAACTAGACCAGGAGCAGACTGCTTTAGTGACCATGTTCCAGTTGTAGGAAAAATTAGAATAAAACTAAAGAACATTAGAAAAACACCACAGAACATCAAGTTAAATTTAGGAATTCTTAGAACGGATAACGAAATGAAGGCACAGTACAATGTCACTGTACAAAAAAGGTATAATGCAATGGAAATTATACAGACTATTCATGAACAATGGGATATGTTGCGTGAGTCTATTCAGCAGACATCAAAAGAGACAATCCCACCAACTCATAGAGTAGCAAAAAAGAAATGGATATCAATTGATATTCTGCAGTTGATGGATGAAAGAAGGAAAAAAAAGAATGATAAAGAGGAATACTCTAGAATGCACAAAAAAAAAAAAAATTGTGAACAAATGCAAAGTGGCAAAAGAAGTCTGGCTAAATCAAATGTGTACAGAAATTGGGGAAAATCACAGGAAAGACTCACATTCCATGTACCAACAGACAAATATGTTAACAGGAAAGATAACACATAACAACACTGGTTGTTTAAAATCAAAATATGGTGGCTTATTATTGAGACATAGTAATATAATTAACAGATGAAGAGAGTATATAGGGGAATTGTATGATGATAAAAGACCAGATGTAGAACTGCAGACCAACAATGATGGTCCACCAATAATGACTGCAGAAGTTGAGGATGCAATACATCATATGAAGAAAGGAAAAGCACCCAGGCCAGACGTCTCTCTGGAAGAAATCGAAGCACTGGGAGATTTTGGAACTGATTAATAACTAAACTTTTAAATAATATTTATAATAGTGGGTATATTCCAAATGACCTTTTAAAATCCATATTTATAGCTCTGTCAAAGAAACTAGGCACTTTAAAATGTGAAGACCATCGCACAATAAGTCTTATGAGTCACATGACTAAGATTTTACTGAGAATAATTATGAGAAGAATAAAAAACAAAATTAAACCAGAAATCAGCGATGAACAATGTGGATTTGTAGAAGGAAAAGGTACAAACAATGCCATATACATCCTAAGGACATTGTTAGAAAGAGCTATAGAAGTAAAGACTGATTAGTACTTATGCTTCATAGACTATACAAAAGCATTTGACTGTGTGAAGCAAGAAGTAATAAAACTTAGAAAAATTAAACATTGATAGAAAAGATCTACGAATAATAAAGAATATGTATTGGCAGCAAACAACAGCTATAAGAATTAACAACTGTTTAGGTACATTTAAAAGCATAAGGAGGGGCGTACGACAAGGATGTGTACTATCACCTGAGTTGTTTTCAATATACAGTGAATATATAATGACATCTTTAACTGATATGCCTGGAATTGTGGTTGGTGGGCACAATATAAACAATTTCATTATGTTGTTGACACAGTCTTGATAGCAACAAGTCAGAGATAACTACAGGAAATGATAGACATTGTGGTGTTAGAAAGTTGAAGAATGGGACTCAGTTTCAATAATGGGAAGACAGAAGTAATGGTGGTATCAAAGAAACAAATTATTCCTAAATATGTAACAAAAGTCAATGGTGTTATTTTAGGACAAGTATAGAAATTTAAGTATCTGGGTACATGGATAACATCAGATGGAAGATGCATAACTGAGATAAGAAACAGAATAGGACAGGCAAAAACTGCATTTTATAAAATGAAGAACATCTTGTGCAATATATGCTTGTCATTAAGAGTTAGAAAAATAATTCTTGCTTGCTACATACATCCAGTTTTAACATATGGCTGTGAATCCTGGACAATTGGTAGGCAGGCCAAACAATTTCTTGAGGCCTCAGAGATATGGTTTTACAGAAGAATGCTTAGAATACCTTGGACAGCCAAAAAGAGCAACCAAGAGGTTTTGAGAGAAGCGGGAGCCCAAAGACAACTTATCACAGACGTCAGAAGGAGATATAATTTTTTGGCCATGTTATGAGAAGAGGGAACATAGAACAAGTTGTGACCACTGGGAAGATCTGTGGAAGGAGGAATAGAGGAAGACAAAGAGAGAAGATTCTTGACAGTCTTGTTGCATGGCATGGGGGTGTGTCGGCACAAGAACTGATACATGCTGCAGGAGATCGTTGATTATGTATAGGCATGATCGCCCACGCCAGTCGGCAAGGCACCTGATGATGATGATTATAAGTGACTTCCATACATAGTTTGGTCATGGTAATTAACTTTTTTGGTATTCCAAAGTCCCTCATAGCATTCCATAAACTGTTTCTATGTACACTATCATACGCTTTTTTAAAATCCCCAAAAACATAATGTACATCTTTTCTATATTCCTAATTCCGCTCTGGTATTTGCCGGAAAATGAATATCTGATCTATTGTTGATCTATTGTCGGAAACCTGCTTGGAATCTCCCAAAATGTATTTGACGTATGGTTTTAGCCTGTAGTATCTAATAGCTTGTAGATAATAGTGATATTCCTCTACAATTTCCATATTTATGCTTGTCTCCTTTCTAAAAATTATGTAATAATAAAGACACTATCTATTCAAGGGATAATTTCTCAGTCTTTTAAACTAGTTTTATTAATTTATATATCTTTACATGTAAGGCATGACCACCTTCTCTTATAAACTCAGCTGCAATTCCATCAGCACCAGTTGCTTTGTTTTTAAGCCATGTTATGACATACAGTACTTCTTCACAATCAGGCTCTTCAATATTTAGTTCACATGTCAATATCTTTTCCTGTGAATAAGTATTAAGTGAAGTCTCACAATCTGTTTCACTTCACAGATACAGTAAATTCAAAAAAAAGTTTAAAACATGCTTTGGCTATAAAACAAAGCGGATTGGGAAATGTCTGCAATACATGTCTAGTTTTGTATACAGATGTGAGAGTTGGACTCTCACTGTGGAAATGGAGAGGAGGATTCAGGCTGTTCTATTCCAACAAGCGGAAGTAGTTCACAGACAGCACGACCCTTAACATTCATTGGTATCGGTCAGGCTAGACAGACTTAGCGACCCTGGGGTGAGTTTAGCTGGTAATCTGCTCAGTCTACATTAGCGGAGGTCATGATGTCACTCTGCTGGAAAATGCAATGCAAGATACTATACACAGAAAAGTTGAATGAGGTGTTATTACCAGTTTCACAGAAGATAAAGCATTGGGTGGCAACAGAGATCAGGATTTTCTTACTAGCTTGAGCTGCAGCCACACTAACAACAAACTCACAGTGAGTCGAGGGTCATAAAGAGACTCAGGGCTGTAGTGGCTAAAACTCTTGGGCAGTGAGAAACATGAGCAGTCCATCCTTGTGAGTCTCTGGGTCTAGCCTTACAGGTGAAAAGGGCGCACTCAGCTGGTAAGTCCTCTGACATGGCAAACCTTTCTACAGTCAAGACAGTTGTGCATGACCGTAAAGGCACATCCTTCAAAAGGTGACCCCGTTAACCAAGACCTTGCGGTCCTGGGACAAAATACAACATATCTAGAGGAGACAACCTCGAGATAAAAAAAAAGCCTAAAGTGGATCTATGTGCTGAGAGGCTATGGAATAGTAAGTCGTGAACGTCTGGTCAGCGCCAGGCATGTGGACTCTATAAGGACATCCATTGCCTCTTCGCTAGCAGGCAGGCTCTACTAGGGTGGCCGGCTACTTCCTGCTTCATAATGATTTTATCAAATGAATTTTTCATTTCCTAAGAATTTTCACCGGAGCTACAAAGCACACGCTCTGTGCTTGACATCATCTTCAGCGAGCAGCATTTAAAATAAGCAGAGCCTGTATGCTATAACTGACTTAATACAATCAGCAGTTATTCTTCTTATTACCTCAGCCTGGACAGAAAATGCTGGCACATGCTAGCAAAAGAAACGTGGCATCATCAGAAAACAAACACACATATTTAAGTGAAGCATTCTCAAATTACTGCTTCCACATTACCAACCTCTAAAGCCTGCATTGTACTCAGTAATGACAAATTATCTTTGTTGTGTAAGTTCTCTTTGAAGAAATCTGAAAATCTCTGCTTTTTGATGAGCTTCAAGCCATACATTGCAGCCATTCTGAAACCAAAGGATGTGTTTCACAACAATAAAATAAAACCTTCATCTAGACAAGACGTCTATACACAGCTTTATCTTCTTTTGTCCTGAAGGGGTGGTTAGCATTTTGTGTTGTGGTTTACAGTTAGGCTGCCTTTCAACCCAACACATCTCATCTGAGCTATATATTATCTTCCCCTTTACAGCCAGCATGTTTGTTGGGGGTGGGTCTATTCATTTCCCCCCCAGGATGGGAACCACATGTGGATCTACAGATCTATAAACTGCAAAAGTAACATAAAAATCCACTCAACTGTGCAAAACAACAAAATTCAACACAGACGTATGATGAAAATATCAATATTCTCAGTTAAAGTAATGGAATTTACGTGGGGTATTACTGCCATTCTAGTTGCTTTCCCCCCCCCCCCCCTCCCCAACTCAATATAGAACATAAACAGATTCTATTTTACGACTTCATGAAGCACTGAGACAATAATGGATGAGATGAAATCAGTAATTAACCTTTTAGAAGGACAATACTAGGAAAGAGAAGCAAAGACAAAGACAACCTTGATAAGTTCAAACAACTGGGCAATTATTAATGATTTAAGTATATAGACTGCTTAAAGACAACTTATCACAAACATTAAAAAGGGATCGTCATCACTGTTTGGTCATGTTGTAAGAAGGAAACTGGAACATGTTGCAATCACCGAAAAGATCTGTGGAAAGAGGGATGGTGGAAGATAACGACAATGCAAGAAGATTCTTGACAGCCTTTTGTCATGGCATTAAGGGGTGCAACATGCAAACAGATACACGCAGTTGCAGATCACAGATTGTGGTGAGGCGTGAGTTTCCACGCCGGTCGCAAGGCACTTGGTGATGATGATAAGTATTGTTAACTTCACACAAAATAACAGAAGGCAGAGACACATGGAGAATCATAATCGTCTGCTTTAGACCAAAAACGTGAAAAAGAAAAGATCTGAGTAATGGGGACTAATATTAAACCTTGCGGAAGTACGTCTCCAGACAATGTAAGCAGAAAAATTTATAGGAGTAATCTCAGAGCAAGGGCTCCTAACACTTTCAATCACACATCCCTGCAGACTGTCAAAAATGCCCTCCTATCAAAATTGCTCAGATAAAGAAATCATCAGTTTCATTCTGCATCTGCGACTTAGGAAATTATCACAAATTTTAAGATTTGTTGATAAAAAAAAGGACATAACTGAAATAAAGTAAATAGGGAAAAAAGGGTTTTATTAGGTACTTTTTATAAATTCGCATATATCATATAAACACGTTTCAAACCGTGAGCTTTAAAGCCATTTTGGTACAATCCCACAGATGAGGTAAAATTCATGCTTTTTAATGTGTTTTAAATTTTTTCAGGGGAATATATATGATGTGGTTCACTGTTGCCTTGTACGTGTAGTAAGTGCTGACACTTGTCCACATCTTCCTTTGTAGCCTTTCTCTATTGATCTGTGAATAAACTGTTGCAGCTGTCCCATGATCAAGCATTTTTCTTCTCATATTATGGCCAAACAGATGATGAATACCATTTTGATATTTATGATAAACTATCTTTGTTCTTTTAACCTCTTTCAGAACTTTCAGGTTACTTATTTTGGCTGTCAAATAAACCATGAGCAATCTGTGAAAACAAGTCATAGAGGTCTATGGGGAATTTTTGGAACCTGATTACTTATTGTGTGCGATAGGCATATAAGCACTGTCATGAATCAGAATCAAACTGCATCAACACGTATGAAGCTACTAATTTTTTTTATGCTCCGTGCATTCTGTCAAATAAAGCAAGAATCTGTGACTGATTTTTAAAAAAATATTTTGGTGATTCAGGATGTTTCCATCGCATGCCTGTTTGCAACAAAAACACATCATCCTCTGTAATAAAGCAAGTGGTTCAAACTCTACCCAAGACATTCATCCTTAAGAAGGTTCACCAGCGTGTGCAAGATTTATCTTGAACTCAAATTCTGATGCTTGAACTTCTTACGAACCATCATTTGTACAATTTCCTCTGCTAGCAAATGTAAGTTCCAACAATGGTTCACCCACACTGTTGCAACTTTTGTTAATAGCTTATACATCTGACACATTTGCACCAACCCCTTTACTTTTTATTTAAAAGTCATTTGTTTCATCACATACTATCTCCATTGTGAGGAAAGCTGGCTGTCAATAACATTCAGTTTTGCAAATTCAAATATGGTCACACAGGAAGCAATGACAGAATGCTGCTGAATGCCACATTAAAAATTGTGAACTGTTTCCAATTAATTGTGCTAGTTTGTGTAGAGAAATGAGGGGCGTCGTCCATGCGGAAAAGGTGTCTGTTTTGTGGTGTTCTCTAGATAACAGGATCGTTAGAGATAATGTCCTAAGTCTCATGATAGATGGTAGAAACCTCAACAGAGAGAGCAAACTGAAGTATCTCAACAGAGAGAGCAAACTGAAGTATCTGCGAATTACATTTGACAGAAGCCTGTCCTTTAAGGACCATGTGGAGAGTGTTGTGACAAGATGGACAAACTAAAGCACATACAGAACGCAGCTAAGCGCGTCATTCTCGGTTGCATCAGGGACACCCTAGTGGCGTGTATGTGATACATCCTTGGTTTGCTGACTGTTGCAGGTAGGCACAAGGTGCTGAAGGCAAAGTCATATCTCAAGGTAGCTGCAGACACAGATCACCCACTGCAGGAAGCTCAGGGCTCAGTTAAGGGTCAGTGGCTAATAAGAGTTAACTCATGGGTGGCTCAGGCAGACAACACATTCAGACAGGTTTGCATCCTTGAGAATATTAGGCGAGGAGAGGAGTGGGTGAAAGTTCCACCTGAACAGCCAGACTTGTGTAGGGTCATAATCATCATAATCACGCTAAGCCGGGAATGCAGAGACTGGCCAGCTGGTGCCACAGAGGTGGAAATTCAGCAATTAATTCAAGGTAATGCTCGCTCAGAGGATTTGATCATTTACAGACGGTTCAGTGTCAAGAGGCAAAAGAAGTGATTGGTGTTTCTTATCAATGTTTGGTGCAGGAGAGCCTAGCATATGATATCACAACATCCAGCTTAAAAATGGAGGTGGAGGCGGTCACTGCAGCTTTCCACTGGTTAGAGAACATGACACACACACATCGTGATGTAACTGACTCAAAAAGCATCTTGAGGAAGGTCAGGACATGCATGCTTCGTGCAGAGTGGCATGCTTCACTGCAGAGGACAAGGGTTTGGAGTATTGTCTGGATTTGTCATCGGGAAATGCCGGTGTGTTGGGAAATGAACAGGCGAACAGACTGGCTGGCTCTGCACAACTTGGTGGAACACTGATGCATGATAAGGCAGATGTGGTTAATGCCTTATAGGAGAGTGTGTACAGTTCGGAGGAGCAGATGGATTACCAGTCTGGTGAGATTGATGCAGTGGGGAGTGACAAGAGGTTCTGGCAGATGCTCGAGGCTCAGAGGAAAGGCAAAATGGACGTTTAATCAGAATGCTACAGGCACCATTAGTATCAGAACTCTTCACTGGCTGCTGAAGATGGGGGACATAGCACTTATGGGAATGCCCAGAGTGCTGTGATGTTGGTTCTTGAATCAACTCAACTGTGCTAGTTTTATCCAATTGGGTCAACTGCATAGTTTCGTTACAAAGTTTATTCTACTGTAAACACACTATTTACAGTTGTCTGTAAAGTGCTATTTAAAATAATACATGTGTTATATGCATGCGAGACTGGGGAAAAGGCAGAAAAGCTGAAATACATTTTTTTGCAGCAGAGATGTGGATTTTAAGACGAATGCAAAGACTATCAAAGAAAAATATGAGACAGATGAAAACTATAAATAAATTAGACGTATACTGTATTTTTCAGAAATATCATGAGAAGGAGAGGGCTTTAGAACTTGGTAATGACTGGCATAATTGACAGATGGCAAAGAAGTGAATAACTGGATGGCTTAGCCATATGGATGGTGGCGAGATAAGAACATTGACCCTGATTGCATGATTCTGGGGATCATGTGAGATGACCAAACATAGACAGCCTATGTTTAATAGCAAGGACAAGCTGATGATGATGACCTCTAAGAACCACAACTGTTATCCCATATTTCCATCATTTGAGTCATACTGTCAGGGAATTATGGATCTTCTTCCTCTTCTTTACGTCCTCTTTTACTGCTTCGGGTGTCAAGGGAGATATAAGGTTCTGCTTCGTGCTCTTCTTGCTGCTTCGACCACAGACACATCATGGTGCAGAAGAGTTTCTCTGATGTTATCTTGTTCTTATGGATAATCCGGTTAAGTTATAGCCAAATAATGGATAAAGTCACAATATGGGAAAGAAGGATATACTGAATATACAGATATACTGTAAAATATAACTTGTTTCCTGTAATGTGTTCTGTAAAGCTGGCATACACTTTTTGCTTTTCCTATTGTTTACAATACAAAATATGTAGGCCATAGTGTCCATGTATGTACCTTTCTAACACTGGAAAATACACTAGAAATTCTGGACAGTCAACAACTCCCTCTAGATGAAAATTGTACATGGCTCCAAACAATGGGAAATTTGTCTTGTCTTCTTGAGAAAATGTGATCCGATAGACATCATTCCCAAAAGACTTATCCTGTGACTGGCGAAAACGTCTTCTGCAAAAAAAAAAATTACAATCAAAGACAAAAATAAAACATGTCAATATATCTGACACTTCTGTAATTTCAGTCACTACTGAACAAACAAACAAACAAACCCACCCACCCCCACACACACAAACCCACTTTGTCTCTCTGAAACATATGGGCTAAATGACCATATGTGTAGTGAGGGTGATTTGTCAACTAATTATGATCTGAATGGTCACATCTGAAGAAGGATAATTTGTCAACTAATTATGATCTGAATGGTCACATCTGAAGAAGGATAATTTGTCAACTAATTATGATCTGAATGGTCACATCTGAAGAAGGATAATTTGTCAACTAATAATGATCTGAATGGTCACATCTGAAGAAGGATAATTTGTCAACTAATAATGATCTGAATGGTCACATCTGAAGAAGGATAATTTGTCAACTAATAATGGGCTGAATGGTCACATCTGAAGAAGGATAATTTGTCAACTAATTATGATCTGAATGGTCACATCTGAAGAAGGATAATTTGTCAACTAATTATGATCTGAATGGTCACATTGAAGAAGGATAATTTGTCAACTAATTATGATCTGAATGGTCACATCTGAAGAAGGATAATTTGTCAACTAATTATGATCTGAATGGTCACATTTGAAGAAGGATAATTTGTCAACTAATTATGATCTGAATGGTCACATCTGAAGAAGGATAATTTGTCAACTAATTATGATCTGAATGGTCACATCTGAAGAAGGATAATTTGTCAACTAATTATGATCTGAATGGTCACATCTGAAGAAGGATAATTTGTCAACTAATTATGATCTGAATGATCACATCTGAAGAAGGATAATTTGTCAACTAATTATGATCTGAATGGTCACATCTGAAGAAGGATAATTTGTCAACTAATTATGATCTGAATAGTCACATCTGAAGAAGGATAATTTGTCAACTAATAATGGGCTGAATGGTCACATCTAAAGAAGGATAATTTGTCAACTAATTATGATCTGAATGGTCACATCTGAAGAAGGATAATTTGTCAACTAATTATGATCTGAATGGTTACATCTGAAGAAGGATAATTTGTCAACTAATAATGGGCTGAATGGTCACATCTGAAGAAGGATAATTTGTCAACTAATTATGATCTGAATGGTCACACCTGAAGAAGGATAATTTGTCAACTAATTATGGGCTGAATGGTCACATCTGAAGAAGGATAATTTGTCAACTAATTATGGGCTGAATGATATGTATAATTATGATTTATCAATTAATTATGGGCTGAATAGTCACATGTGTAGTGGGGATTTGTCAATTAATTATGAGCTGAATGGTCACATGTGTAGTGGGGATTTGTCAACTAATTATGGGCTGAATGGTAGTATCTGAAGTGGTGATGATTTGCCTAATTATGGGTTGCATGGTCATATGTGTAATGATGATTGGTCAAATAATTATGTGTTGAATGGTCATGTGTGTAGTGGGGATGATTTGTCAACTAATTATGGGCTGAACGATCATATGTGTAATGATGATCTGTCAACTAATTATGGTCTGAATGGCCATACTTGCAGTTTTTTTTTTTATTTGATAAATTTATCTATTTGTTTAACTTGTTCATATTTTTCTCCTCCTTTTTAAAAAAAAAGCTTTGGTGCTATTTTGTTTTGTAATATAGCCCTTCATATCCATATTTTCCCCACATTACGTATTTCTTGGTTTCATATTGACCCTGATTTTGTAGCTCCGTTTTATAGTATTTTCAGTTTTCAAAGTATGTGTTGTATTTCATACTCTGTTGATAAAGACTTTGGCCGAAACATTTGACTGTATTTTTGGCTATCTCTCCCATTCCCCTGGTTGAGCTTTCTAGTCCCATTTTAGTCACCTAGCACTTCTTGTCATCAGCTCCACTGGAGTCACCCCCTGTTTATGTTTTTAATTAAATCATGGAGAGCCATGATCCCCATGGTCTGCTCCAAACCAGGTAACTGAAGGAGAAGAACATTCTTTAACAGGTTATATTACTCACTTTTGAAGACTCGCTATGTTCATTAATTCGCCTTCAATTGCCAGTCTCTTCTGCATGGCGTTTTATGAGTTTCCTCAATCACCAGGTTTGGTTGACACATTCATGGAAATTTCCTGAAGTGTACAGGAGCTACACAGATGATGGCCTCGGTATCAACTAATTGTCCAGAGATGAACTCAATTCCCAATTCATTAATTTCATCAGCAACTTTAATCCCATCATTTCAATCATCTTGATATCCACCTCTTCTGTGAATGTCTTGGGCATCAATATTAGCATCAACTTTCTTTTCTCAACCATGTGTGCCTACTGACTATCACAGTTATCTGCTTTCTAATCTATATGTCTTCTCACTCATTCTCTGGCAATAATTCTACACCCTTCTTCCATGTGCTTAGACTATGTAGGCTGTGTTCTAATCACTGATTTCTTGATTCTGGAATTTTTCTGTGCCCATCTTTCCCCTGAACAAATTCTTAAGTGTAAAGTATAATCCTTCACTCAGAGAGAGGCTTTGCCCACTAAATCTAAACCTGCTCATGACAGAACTAAATTGATCTTAACATGTTGCACAAATAATTTGGCTGTTTCTAGAATATTCCATCACAAACGGGGGAAAATGTCACTTTTCTGACTTGTATAAAGTGACATGTTTACGAGATACCAACTGTAATGCAGCTGGGGTTTAAGTGTTTTACAACACTGGAGTGAAGAGGCAGAATCATGGAAAAATGACCATACTATGATTCCATCTTATTAAGGCTTCTGGCTGAGTTTGACCCTGCGCTGCTCTTTAGGAGGTCAAAATATGAACAGAATTACTATCTTAGTATATGAAGGGTTTCCTTGTTAACCAACTGATGTCATTAGTTTCCCACAGCCTCACTGACAGTGGTCATGGAGTCACAGTAGAAATTTCCTGATATATTGTTTTTGCACCAATAATGTTTTACTATTGCTTTGTTTATTGATTATCTTCTTTTTATATCTTTGTATATATATATATCAACAACAAAAGAGTTATAAATGATAAATGTTCAGAAATGTATTAATGACCTGTGTAAACTTGTTTTCAAGATTTTTTTCAGGGAATTCCCACAGGGATATGATGTTCATTTTTTTTTAAGCCTCTCTGTGGCGAAAGGGTTAATATATGCCATTTTGTATATTTTGCAGATGACAGCTAAATTAAGTTGCAAAATTCACAAGTAAATGCTTGTAAGTAAATACTTACACTAATTCATTTGAATCTAGTGTAGTTCCAATGAAATATCCACCAACCCGGAGACACTCCCCGACATTCCTCAGCATCATCATGGCTTGAGAGTAGCTCTCAAAGCAATAGTGGAAGGAAAACTGGCAGCTAACTAGATCAAAAGTTTGTGCAGGGTTTTTGTATTTGTTCTTCAGTCGTTCCTTGAAATTACAAAAATAAACAAAATGTCCTTTTACATACATGGCATCAGTCATTTGTTGAAAAAAGGACGGGAATAGTAAATTCAATATTAACAGCATTCTAAACATTGGAGAAAATAGCTTCGACAGACTAGAGGACCTGAGGACCGTGCGGGATAATGCTGACCAAAACCAATTTGACAAAGATGATCCCAGTAAGATTTTCATCATACTGCAGGGGTCGAGGGTCATGGAGATTCAGATCTGTAGTGGCTAAGACTCTCGGCATTGTAGCACACCAGCTGCTCCCCCTTGTGAGTCTCTTGAAAAGGGCACACTAAATAACCTTTCTACAGTCAAGCCCATTGTGTGTGACCGAAGAGGCACATCCTTCACGAGGTAACCCAGTTAACCAGGACCTCGCGGTCTTGGGACAAAACACAAAGGATCTAGAGGGGACAACCTCTATAAAAAAAATTAGGAAAACCTAAAGTGGATCAACATTCTGAGAGGCTGAATGGCTGTGGGATAAGCAGTCGTGACCATGCGTCTGGTCAGCGGGAGGGGGGCACCAGGTTGGTGGATTCCATAAGGACATCCATTGCCTCTTCCCTAGCAGGCAGGCTCTACTAGGGTCACCGGTGACTTCCTGCTCCATAACAGCATCAACTTATGGATTATTTATTTTGATTTAATAAGAATTGTTGCTGGAGCTATGGAGCACGTCCTCTGCACTTGAATTGATCTTCAGCACTCAAAAAAACAATCTAAGAACGCCTTGCTAAGGGCAATCTCTGCATTTTATACTGGAACTGCAGGAGTATTTGAGAGAGAGGCCCAGTCTTGGAAAAACTGGTATATGATGCTGATGTAATTGCACTTCAGGAGACCCGGCTGAATACGAAGAAAGCTCTGAATGTCTCAATCTTCCAAACATACTACAACAGCAAACACCTAGGTCAAGCAATCCTGGTTAGGTGCAGATCAACATCCTCAGTTGTAGACACAAGTGCATGGAACAACAGCAAAATTCAGGTGAAGGCTGTAAAATTAGACGGCAAAAAACCTTTCAAGCTAATTAAAATCTATGCCTGTAATGATAATGCTGACCAAGAAAAGTGGAAAATTTCAAGTCACACGTGCATGCATATAACCACGGACATAATCATGTGTGGGGACTTCAATGCCAAAGGTCTTCTATGGGGCAATACGACGGTCAATAAACAGGGTGAGGCACTGGAGGAAGCACTAATAAATACAGATTTAATTTGCCTGAATGATGGCAGACCCACCAGAATCCCCTACAGAAAAAGGTGATACTGATAGTGCCCTCGATCTCACGCTGGTCTCTCTCAGGTATTTGCTTCGACTAGCAATCTAACGTGGCTTTTCACAAATAATATTCCCTCTACCTAGTTTTCATGAAAGTAAACCCGGTTACTCTTAGTTTTCCACAGACTACTTTCTGAAATGTCAATACTGCATCGTGATTTCAATGTTGAGTTTTTGGAGTTTAATAAGTTGATTCATTTCTAACATTTTAAAGATCTCACATCTAATGACATCTACATCAAAGTCATCAACTTTCCTTTTCCTTCCTTGCTTTACATGAGTGTTCTGTCTATTTTAACGGTTAAATGATGTCCACTACTGCCATAATTTTGAGAGCACTGAGTCCTTTTTGTCATTTCACAGCAATGGTCTCCAAATTATCCCTGAAGGAAATGCTTCAAGCGTAAAAGATACCCAGGTACCTCAATTACTGTTACTGTTATGAACTGTTAGGCTTGGAACGTTAGCTTTTACAATGCTATTGTCCAGAGAGAACCACAAAACAGCCGCCTTTTCTGAGTTGATGATAGCACCTATTTCTGCACACTAGTCAGTTACTCTGTCTACATCTGCCTGTAGTTCTTGTTATTACTCTCCTGCCTATATGCAAGAACATTATCTAAGAACATTATCTGCAAATTTCAATATTCTTCCAACACCTGGTGCTACAAGTTCTGCAATCTTGCTTGTATACACACTGAAAAGCACTGGTGAAATTGCAGAATCTTGGGGTGGTCCAGAGGTGATATTACATGATTCTGAGGTTCATGCACCCAGGCACAGGGCAACCATATAAGAATGTAAGTCAGCTGCTATCTAGTTCAGGAGCCAGGGACAAAAACCCTTCTCCATGAGTACAAATATCAAAAAATCATATCTCAATCTATTGTAGGAGAACACTGTCCATGAGAGAAAGAAAGAAAAGCATTGTGGATATTTTGTCTGTGCTGATGGTAAAATGACACTTTTCTGCGCATATAATTAAGAGATCCGTTTATTGCTGCATTCTTAAATTCTGCAGGGAGGTATTTCACCAGGTCACTGATATAAACAAGAAAGAGTTGGAGAGATTACTCCTCCCTATGGTACTTCCAGGTGAGGCAATGTTTCTGCACTGCAGTCCACTAAGAACAGAAAGGACTGGATTCTTCTTAGAATACTCCCTTGGATTCCACTTCTCTTCAGTTCTGCCATGATGCCATCTACTACAAAGCTCTAGCTGTGAAAGGAAATCTTGCTGTGATTTCACTGGGTGATTCTTTTAGTAATGGTATTTATGTTCTCCCACATCTAACTGGTGGGCTGGCAAGTTTTTCATTCATTTTGGGGTGCTGGTTGGAATGCTGCTATGTTGGTACTAATATCATATGTTTCTCACTAGATGGTTTCTGTGCCATCCACGCCCATCTAAAGTTCACTGGTTAGGTCCCAACGTTCAGCGGATGTCACTAACCGTGGAGACTAATCTACCGAGTTTCTTGCCATCTTTCACATGGTTTAACACTGCTTTTTATTTTTCCAGCTTTTGTGTTTTCTTCTAGGTTTGTTTTCTGGAACACTGCTAGACTTTTCCCCCCTTCTGATGTAGTTTTCAAGTAAAGGTTGAAATTCTGCATGCTTTCTAGCCTAGCTCAATGCTTTCTGAAATTCATGGAGTGTGCCAGTGAGGTCTGTAGTTGAATAGGTACTGAAGAATACTTGAAGAATACTTCTGTTGACATCCTTTACTACAGCACTGATATCTCGATTTTATACCCTGAAAGCAGACAGCTGTAATTTTTCCTGTTTCTGAACAGGCATCATTCGGCTTTCTTGTAGTTCCATCTTGTGACGTATTCTGGACAGTAAGAACTGGTCTCCTACTCCTGTAGTTATCATTTCTGATATCTCTGGGGTAGAGAAGGTAAGATCTGGGTTGATGTTGGCTGCGATCTTCTGGAGTAGACCATAGGCGTACCATAGGGGGGAATCGGTGGGCACTAACTAACATGTTTCCACCTCTTCCCCCTGTTGTTGAGATAGTTATAGCCCCAGTTCTATGAACGACTGCTGAAATCTCCAACTGCAATAAAGTTGGTATCTGGTAACGGGACAGAGCTAAGACTGAACATTGGGGCAGTAGTCTTGTTTCTTTCTTTGTGTTCACCAGCTGTACACTCTGGCGTAAAGTTCTGGTTGTTTGTCCACTTCCGGACTGCAGTCATGCTCCAGAACCTGAGTGTTGCGTGTGCATCAGTTTTACAGATCTGATTCAATTGAATGCAGACTGCTGGTTCCTTGCCTCTCAGGCAGATGCACTCCGACTTTAAAGGAAGCTCCCCAGTTAGTCGACTCATACGGCATGCTTTTGGGGAGGCAGTGGGTCTGTTCTTGTTTTCCCCCACAATAGGGCACCGGAACCGGGGGGGGGGGGGGGGGGGGGGGGGGGGGTTAGTAATTCAGAAGGTCTAATTTCCTTTTATGTTTTAAGTTGCAGGAGTTGGTACTCAGTTTCTGGGTGGGGTGGGGGTGGATTCTGTCTAAGCTCAAAATCAGTCATTGAACCTGCCTGATGGAGCTGCACATGGAGAGCACCACCAACATTAAATTTGTCTGACAGTGTATTCATCTACAGCAGAAGTTGCAGAGTACTGTGGTTTTCTTTTATCCACCTTCTGGCCCAGTATTTCCAACTTCAGGATCTCTTGAGAGGGAGAGCGGGCTCATTTTGCATTTACCTTGTTTGGTGTCCCATCCAGTTTCCCCCTGGGATAAAGAACCCCAACCTTCCACTGGAATGCTGGGAAGAACAGGGTCCACAACATAAAAGTAAGACAGGCTTGAGCAAGAGAGAATTACAGACATTATGAGTTTTTTTATTGTGCACAAGTGCTTTATTAGAACCCCACCCCCTCAACTCAGAGCTGAACTTAGCAAAGTGGTTGCCAAAAAGTGTTAGTTAGTTAATGAATCAACCGATCATCCTCGCTGCACATCGGATAAGTTCATAAGTATCCCCCAAATCTCTAGTGGGTGCCATCACACTGTGGTATACAAGGAAAATAAAATGCAGATGCCTCCCTTTATTCACAATAATCATATCTCTCAAACTTCAAAGCGATTTTCAATGATCTACTAAATGCTCTTGCTTCCTTTCTAAAAAATCAGATTGGGTCTAGGAAAAGCCCCAACAATTTTATTACAATAAGGAGCATCAGAGAAAAAAAAAGCAGATGTATACCTTGGTACAGTCTGCAGCAATAAACTCTGCTGTGTATATTCTGTTTCTCTCTCTCTCAACATTCTGCTTGTGCCTGGCTTCACTCTGTTCCACAGATGTTGCAGCAATATCTGTACATTAATAGCACACAATTAACACACCAACTGGACAGCAGAATCTATGGGTCATCATTTGAAACAAATGTTTAAAAAAAGAAAGTTTTCAAATCGCTGACATCATCAGCATGGGAGCCCAGATCAAAGCTCCGTATTAATGATTCTGTCACACCAATGAATTCTGAAACCTATCTGTTCCCTCATCATTATCTACTTTACTAACCAATCAAATGTGTGATTCTACATCTTGGAGCAGGGCTTCATCAAAGAAGCTTGGGTTACTGTTTGCCTTGTTTATTCTCATTCATTCTGTTTTTCCTATATGCATTTTTAGACACAAGACATCTAAGTGCTTGATCAAGATGACTTTGTTTTAAATCAGCAAGACTTCAAGATCTCCCCCATAATTCACTGTTTTCCATTCATAACTAATGAAGTGACAGTTGAGGTCTATAAGGATAAGGTGTCCTGATTATTAATTGTTATCTGCAGCACCTCTAGGGCTGTGGATGCTAAAATGTGATAGTTTATCACCGTCATATTACCACTTGGCCAGAGGAATGTATTTGCTAGGAATCTGATTGCATCTTCTTAAGAGGTTGATGTTTTGACATTTTGATTCTTTCTTTGAATCTTGCTTGCATGGTTTGGCAAAGGATTTGTATCAATGGGCTAAGAATTTCTGACAATTTGTTAAATGTTTCTTAGATGTAGAATATCTCATGATTATTCTCCCTAATAAATCTGTGCAGCTTACTCCAACTTCCCTCTGCATTCCTGTGATACACAGTAAGGTAGACAGAGGTTTGTCTGTACTACTCCCACGCCCTGACTATTAGGTAGGTGGAGGCACAGGTTGCTTGGGTGGGCCCTCTTGAGGTCAGGGACCAGTCACTGCCACTCCCTGCATACAGCTGATACAATGACAACAGGCCACCTGACTATTTCCTGTTGATGCATACATATTATGGTTTCTGTGTCTATAAAAAAGCTAAGACATTTTTTTTTAGACCAGGTTGCTTTTACAACTAGCTTACCGTGCTTGGCAGATGCTCCCACTGTAAGCCATGGAATACTCTAGCAGCGGTGACCTGTAAAATACAGACAGCTGACATTCCCTCCCACCCCCCACACCACGATAGTCACACAAATGGCATAAACCAATAATGAGCAACTGCACTAGCAATTTTTTTTGTTTAAATCACTCACTGGTGACTACGCTATTTTATTAATTACAAACTCTGGGTAATGCAAGGGCAACCATCCTCAACCCAGTGCGTCCACTGGTGGCGGATTGTGGAATGGGCTCTAGATATAGAGGTTAGCTGTGAATATTCAATAAGCAGCTGCGGACCAACTGGCGGCGGGCATAGAGGGCAAGGCGGGATTTCAGTGCCTGCAAAGCGGGTCGGGGGGCTATAACCCCTTTCCCCAGGTAGGTGGAACCCGTAAGCTTTGGACAGCAGTCCATCTAAGAGACGGCAAACTCTGAATATAAACCCCTTAGTTCGAGGTGGGCCAATATGCTGAGGAACTAGATGGCCACAGGTGAGCTGGTCGTGAACGTTGGACATCTTGGGGGCGTGCGGGGCAGCACCAGGCGTATGGACTCCTACAGGACATCCACTGCCCCTTCCCTAGCAGGCAGGCAATACTAGTGTGGCCGGTCATTTCCTGCAGTACTCTTTTCTTCGCATATGGATTTTAAAAATATACATATAAATCGTCGCAGGAGCTACGTAGCACGTGCTCTGCGCCTGACACATTTTTCAGCAGTTCACGAGGAGAGTGAGGAGGAGACGACAAGAAATTAAGGAGAGAAGAAGGCATAGAAATAGGAGGGCAGGTGCTAGGAAAACAAGATGAAAAGCGGAGAGACTGAGCTTCAATCATGTAAGAGTAGGATACTGGAACTGTCGAAGTGCTAGGCAGCGAGGTCCTGTACTGGAGAGGTTGATTTTGATGTCATCATGATCTAGGAGCTAAATACAGACCAATATCATTGCCCTGGGTACGTCAGCTATATAAACCCTGTTGGACAGGAGACGTGGACAAGGTCTGGTGGTGAAGGAGGGAGTTAAGCATGTGGTGCTTGACTTGAGACAGTGGAGGAACCACAGTAAAAGAGAGGTTCAAGGGATACAGGTGGAGATTGGTGGCTTAAGTTTGAACCTCATAAATATATATGGCACGGTAGACTTTTGTCAGGAGTGAACAATGGGGCTGGCTCAAGGAATTGAGAGTCACCAGGTGGAGATTTCAACACGAGGAGAGTCGCATGCCTCACTGCGGAAGACACGGGTAAGGAGTATTGTCTGGATTTTTTCACCAAGGTATGCCGGTGTGTTGGGAAATGAACAGGCTGACAGACTGGCTGGCTCTGCACAGCTTAGTGGAATACTAATGCATGATAAGGCAGACGTGGTTAGTGCCTTGTGGGAAAGCTTGTACAGTTCGGAGGAGCAGATTGATCACCACAGTACTGAGTGAGCAAATAGGACGTCAAAGCAATAAGTAATGTTGTTAAGGGATTGTTGTCTAAGCATTCGGTGTACAGTCTGAAGGAGACAGACCTGTAGTCGTGTCTCAGTGGGTCCTTGAGGACGCTCTACCCCAGGACCTCACTAGGAACTTCAGCGGATAGATGGTACATTGTCTACTGCACTCTGCAGGAAGCCGGTAAGCTTTGAGGAGGGATTATCTCCAGGCCGAATCATTAAAGAGGGACATTGTCCTGTTCAGACTGCAGAATAGGAGATCGATGTGACCGTCCAGACTTGCAAGATCGGACTGTTGACCTGTCATTTGAAGATGTCATTTGAATCTATTCGTCAGGATGTATGAGCGGTTGCTTGTGTGGGCGTGTTTGGGTGAGTCTTTACAAAGAGTCCTATTATTTGCACATTTTCTCATTTGTTGGTCAAGTGTGTGTAACAAATACACCATTATACAGATTCTCATAGCATTCATCTTCAACTGCGTTTGGAAGCATTAAGTTCATACTGTTCTGCCACACTTGGCTGGTGGCATTGTATTCTCAGTCAAGAGGTATGTTTTTGTACCTGATTTCACATTTCAATGGGAACCTACGCCTCTCAGCAAGCGTCGCACATCACAGGGGTGACGAGAGGTTCTGGCAGATGCTCGAGGCTCAGAGAAAGAGCAAGACGGACATTAAATCAGAATGCTACTGGCACCATTAGTATCGGAAATCTTCACTGGCTGCTGAAGATGGGGACGGAGCGCTTATGGGAATGCCCTGAGTGCTGTGATGTCGGTTCTTGAATCGAATCAAATCACATCAACACGAGGAACAGAGAATGTGACAGCAGCAGAGAAAACCGACAGAGAACAGCTCTTGCAGCGGCCATGGTTGACTCCGATATAGTCTGCATCAATGATGGGAGGCCGACTAGAATGGCAATAAGGTCTGGCGATGCAGACACAGCCATTGACTTGACATTTGTCCCCCAGTGGTTGGTTTTAGATGTTAAATGGACTGTCCTGAATGACCATGGGAGTGATCACCTACAATGTTCAGTCCTAATTTTTAAACCCAGTAAGGTTAAGGCTGGGAGAGCAAGCAAGACCTTTTGGTATAAGTGGACCAACAACCTACTTGGACGCCTCAGACAGGGGGCATGCAAAAGAACTGCCAGAACTAATTTTCTACAGCCCCCATGGTGGACTTAAGAAGTAATCAGGCGTGAAAGGCAAAGAGAGCCGCAGTGAAGCAGCTAAAGAAAGTAGGACAGACACCCTCAAGCTTGCGAGAGGAAGTGGAGATGGCGGAGAATGTGAAAAAAGATCAGGTGGCGGTTTTTAGGCGCTGTGCTGCAGAGGCCAAAAGAGCAAAGTGGGAAACTTTTGTGAATGATATGGGAAGCGATGAAACATTGGGGAAATTCTGGAAACTGCAAAGGCAGATGCATAGAAAAGATCGGCCTATGACAGTCGGAACAATTTGTAAAGACGATGGTGTGCGTATGACAACAGACAAGGAGAATTGGGAGGCTTTTCTCCATAGGTTTATAGCTCAGACAGATCATAATGATGTAGACATCAGGGATGCAGTTAGAAAGGAGTTAGCTGGCACCTTAAAGAATATGCATTATGAAAACATGATACAAGTAGAAGATATCAAACAAATTTTAAAAAAAGGCAAAAGACACTGCACCAGGGCCCTGATGGGGTCAGGTATGGCCACATAAAGGCTTTGAGCGATGTAGACCTGGCAGAGATGGCCGACTATTTTAACCAGAGCATTAAGACAGCATCAGTACCACAGGACTGGGTCACAGCTATCTAATCCAACTAGTGGCTTTAGAATCATCACCTTACAAAACAAATTTGGGAAGGTCTTGGAGAAGATAGTTGCTGTAAAGTTACAAGAATTTTTGGAAAGGTGGAAGCTTCTCCCAAGAGGTCTGGGAAGCTACAGGCCAGGAAAGGACACATGGGCAAATGCGGCCACTTTTGCTTTTGACGTCTATGAAGGATTCCAGAACAGAAAGGAATCTATGGCGGTAGGACTGGATCTCGAGGATGCTTATACCAGAGTGAGATACGACATCTTAATGACTGCACTGAAGGAGGAGGAGGTCAGTCCATGGCTGGTGAATTGGGTTGCAGCTGTCCTGTATTTATGTCGGGTTGCTCTCAGAACCATGCAGTTTGGTCCCAGGACTGCCACAGGGACTAGCCATCTATGCTCTTTTACCTTTATACGAGCAAGATTGCAAGCCTAGAAGCACCAGGAGTTGGAAGGATACTGATTTTTGTGGATGATTTACTTGCATATAGGCAGGGGGAAGAGAGGGAACAAACAGCCCGGGAGCTATAAGTGACAGTAGACAAAGTGAATGAGTGGTGTACAGAAATGAATGATAGATGGTAGAAACGTCAATAGAGAGAGCTAACTGAAGTATCTGGGAATTACATTTGACAGGAGCCTGTCCTTTAAGTAAGGACCATGTGGAGAGTGTTGTGACAAGATGCCAAAAAGAACTAAGTGCACTTAAGACTATGGCTGCAATTGACATAGAGCAGAAAATGCTTTTCACACTATGTCAGCACCTGAACCTGTCAGTGGTTGATTATGGCCTAGGACTGCTTAATGTCTCAAAGAGTCAGATGGACAAACTAGAGCGCATCGAGAACACAGCTATGCGGGTCATTCTGGGTTGCGTCAGAGACACCCCTGTGGTGTGTATGTGATATATCCTTGATTTGCCAACTGTTGCAGGTAGGCACAAGGTGCTGCAGGCGAAGTCAGATCTTAGGGTAGCTGCAGACACAGACCACCCTTTGCATGAAGCTCTGGGTGCAGTTAAGGGTCAGCGGCTGATAAGAAGAAAACACAATCAGACAGGTTTACATCCTTGAGAACATTAGGTGAGGAGAGGAGTAGGTCAAGACTTATGTAGGGTCATAATCAAACTGAGCCGGGAATGCAGAGACTGGCCAGCAGGTGCCACGGAGATGGAAATTCAGCAATTAATTCAAGATAATGCTCACTCACAGGATTTGATCATTTACACAGACGGTTCAGTGTCAAGGGGCAAAAGAAGTGCTTGGAGCTTTATAGCAAAAGTTAATGGTCGACGTTTGGTGCAAGAGAGCCAAGCATATGAAACCACAACATCCAGCTTAAGAATGGAGGTGGAAGCGGTCACTGCAGCTTTCCGCTGGCTAGAGAACACAATACACACACACCGTGATTGTAACTGACTTTGAAAGCATGCTGAGAAAGATCAGGACATGTATGCTTCGTGTAGAGTGGCATGCCTCGCTTCGGAGGACATGGGTGAGGAGTATTGTCTGAATTTTTTCACCGGAGCACACCGGTGTGTTCGGAAATGAACAGGCGGACAGACTGGCTGGCTCTGCACAACATGGTGAAATAATGATACATGATAGGGCAGACGTGGTTAGTGCCTTGTGGGAGAGCGTGTAAAGTTCGGAGGAGCAGATGAATCACCAGTCTGGTGAGATTGATGCAGCGGGGTGGGGTGAGGAGTGTGACGAGAGGATTTGGCAGATGCTCGAGGCTCAGAGGAAAGGCAAGGTGGACATTTAATCAGAATGCTACTGGCATCAAAACTCTTTGCTAGCTGCTGAAGATGGGAACGGAGTGCTTATGGGAATGCCCCGGGTGCTGTGATGTCGGTTCTTGAATCAAATCAAATCAAACCAATTAATTACAAACTTAGCTCATAAACAAAAACAAGTTCAGTGTCAAAACTTAGCAACCACATACCTGCACAAACAACATGAGCAATTCTTCCTTTCTTCCATTTCAACAGATCACCTCCTTTACCTGAACACAAGTCCAATACTGATATAGATCTCTGAGTCTCATTTTCACGCAACTTATTTAATGTGTTCGCTGAAAATTTAAAATTGCTGTACATAAATTTTTTCCTTTCTCATTTTCAAAGGTTAATGGGTTACAACTAATTATTTTGCACTGAAGATTTCTGCACAAACATTGAAACAATACAATATACAAAATTAATACAAAATGATGTATACTTCTTTACTGATTATACATATTTCTGGAACTAGAGCAAGAATACATAATCAATACTATTAAAAATCCCCCCATAACAAAACAAACAGAATACTGTAGAAGGATAAGAAATTTACACTACATTCTTAACAGTAATGATTTTTTAAAAATTATTGTTAAAATAAAAATCAAGTGACCCAGCTTGGTAAATAGTTATGCTGCTTGGCTGAATGAAGCAGCCAAACTGATACATATTTAAAGGTCCTCTCCATACTTAGTCTTTTGTGGCCATTTACAGTACACAGTCTGTGCCTTCTTGTTCTTTTCTGCATAGCTGTTTAGCCCAACAAGGCCATATTATTATAGATCAATTAAAAAATATGTTAAGTTTCACCAGTTAATTTTAATTTAATGAGGTTGGACACCTTTCTTCCTGGGTACAGACTAATTATAAAAATAGCTCAATTACTATTTAAAATGTTGAAATATTTCAGTGGGATACGATATTATTAAGCATAATTAATTGTTCTTAAACTATGCCAAGCTGGAACTGTTAAAAATGGTATCTATAAGTAAGTAGTGTTTGGCATTTGGAATGTCTGCACTTTAAAGCACACTGGCAAACTAGCAGAATTACAACATAAGCTGGAAAGGAATGGTTGGCATCTCACTGATCTTTGGGAAACCAGATGGAAACAGTCTGCAGAGAAAAACAAGTGATCAAGGACACATATCTTTCTTCAGTAGAGAAGACAAAGGAGTAAAGTGAACAGCGTTGGTTTTCTTGTGCATCAAAATATCAGAACATGACCATTTGATACAACACTGTCTCAAGCAGCGTCATATCAAAATGCCTGAATGGTACCCCTTTTTAATATGAGTCATACAAGTCTATGCCTAAACTACACTGGCTATGATGACAATTCTATTCACATTCATAGCCAACTGCAAAGCATCACTGACAAAACATCAAAGAGAGACAAACTGATAATCCAGGGGGATTAGAATGCAAAGGTACGAACGAACGAACAAACTTTATTTTCAAAGGGTAACAAATTGGGCACGCAGGCCCGTCTTACATTCGGCCCTTCCAGTCAACCATCTTTCGCACAGCAGTTGTATTTTACTAATAAAGCATGTTATGATCATATGATGATATGCATATTATGAATATTATAAAAGAACACAAAAGCATGAGTTGTAAAGTGCATGCAAAAACCCGCGTGTGCATACATACACCCACATACACAAGCTCACCCACTCACTTACACACACATACATGCATACATTACATACGTAATACATACATACATACACACATACATACAAACAAACATGCATACAGGCATACACACAGGCATACATACATACACACAAACATACATACATAGATACAAACATACAGGCACACATACATACATACATACATACATACATACATACATACATACATACATACATACATACATACATACATACGTAATACAGGCATACACACATATAAACATACAGTCATAAATACAGTCATGCATGGAGACACACACATGCACACACGAACACTCCCACAGAGACATACACACTCACTTAGACAAAATACAGACACACACACAGACACACACACATATTTACATTTGTGCTCACACACACACACACATACGCAGACAAACATGCAGACACATACATACAGCCACATAGACACACATGCAGTCAAACACACACACAAATACAAACAGGAAGACAAATACATACTGACACCCACACAGACAAACACGCAGAAATGCATACACATACAAACACATAGAAATACACATATACATATTCAGCACGCACAGACATATACTCTGACATGCAGACACATACAGACAACAAAGGGGCACACACAATACACACAGAGAAACACATATAGACATACACAGACAGACAGACACATACACTCACGCAGACAGACATACAGACACCCACACACAGAGATACACACATACAACCTCATAGACAAACCTGCAGACAAACACATACGGGGACACCACAGACACAAACGAAGATATACACACAGTCACATCAAATATGCAGAAAAACACCCAGATACACACACATGCAGACAAACACAGACACACACACAGACACATATACACAGCTACATGGATCCAATCGCACATACACACATGCAGACACACATACACAGCAAAGAGGCACACTTTAACACACAGAAACACACACAGACCAATTCACACTGAAACATACATGTGAACATACGCAAACACACACACACATTCGCACAAATACACAAGGACACAGACGCATACATTCGCAGACACACACACAGATACACAAGCAGACAAACAACGTACTCAGAATCATATGTATACAAACACGCCTACACATACATACATATCACACACACGCGCGCGCGCAAACATACATATCATACACACCTTGTTTAATAATAAATTGATAATGCAATATGGGTTACATTACATTCAAGGTGGCATATAATCGCTGGTAAGTATGAATTTAAAAAGTAGGAACAGATAGGCAAGTAGACTGGAAAAGACACATGTGGACCTTTCTGTAAGAAAAGTACCAATGAGAGGACTTAGACTGCCAGAATTCTGCAAATTCAAAAATCTTCTCTTAGCTAACATACTACACAAGCGCAAGCATCCAGAATTTGTACATGGCACTCACCAAATGGTGAACATTACAACCTACTGACTATATACTAGTCCAAAAATGCCTCACATCTGTGACAAACAATAAAGACAAGGAGCTGTCCAAAACCTTGCTATGTTATGACACATGACACTTCACCAACCTATCAGTATGCTTTTGATCCAATTGTTAAAATTGCGAAGATAGTAGATGCGACTGCGTGTTCGCAAGGCTAATCCAGTCTCTTCAAGCTGGTTGTAGTGGTTTGCAACTGTCAGTGCATGATCACCACTGGATTGTGGCTTCAAAGAGAAAGCAAAAAATAAATCAAACTTTACACACAAAAAGGATGGTGTAAAATAACTTTCTTTATTTCTTCTTGTCTTGCTTCGAGGAAGATATCAGGTCCAGGTTCGTGCTCTTCTGGTCGCCTTAGCCATAGATAGATTGTGCTGTTTTAGAGTTTCTCTTATGTTATCTTTTAATCTTGTTCTACCCCTTGGTGTGTGCATCTCTTATCTTTTGGTGTACATCTTGCATGGTATGGGATGAAAGTATTCTAAGTGGGCAAACTATTTGATTTGTTGTCTTTTAAAGTAATTTAGAACTGGTTCTCCATCCCTTATGAATTCATTCCTGACTTTTGGTCACTTCTGAAGTCTTTCTCAAACATCACATTTCCTTGGTTACTAAATCTGTTTTCTGGTTCGTTGTAAGTATCCATTGTCTGGTACTGGTAGCATAGGGTGAAAATAGATATGCTTTGTATGAGATGTGTCTTTGTGTTGACTGGGACTGTCTTGTGCTGTAATAACTACCTTATATCACTCTGCAGAGATGTTAAAATGAATAAATAATTACTGTATAAAATTATATACATTAATACTTCATACATATACTGTCATATATATTAATACTGCATACACTGGCTGAATGACTGTGTGTTATACAGTTGTGAAGGTGGAACATCTAGTTAGTGGGTGGGGCGCCGCCAGGCGTATGGACTCTGTCAAGACATCCCCTGCCTCTTACCTAGCAGGCAGGCAATACTAGGGTAACCGTTTACTTCCTGCATTCAAAGAATATTTTTAATGGATTTTGTACTTGGTAATAAAAAGAACCATCGCTGGAGCTACTACGGAGAGAGTGCTCTGTGCTTAATACCATCTTCAGGTGGCAACGAAGAGAGTAGGAAGAGGAGGAGAAGAGGAAATGGAGGAGGGCTAAAAATGGAGCATCTGGGGTTAAAACATATTAGAGTGGGTTACTGATATTGTCGTTGTGCCAAGAAGAGAGGACCTGTATTGGAGGGACTGATTAATGACTTTGATATCATCATGCTGCAGAAATTAAACATAGATAGATATGAGTGTCCTGGATACAGGGAATATATGGGCAATGTCTGCTGGTGAAGAATGAGATGAAGCATGTGGTTCTTGACATGGACCAGTGGAATCACAGTAGACTAGAGGTTCAGGGTATACAGATAGATAATGGGGGAACAACCTGAAATTTAGTAAATGTTTACGATGCTGTTGAATCTCTTGTCAAAAAGGAACATTGAGACTGGCTCAAAGAGCTGGAGGAAATTCTGGGTAAGAGGCTTCTTATTTGTGGGGATTTCAACGCACAGAACAGACCATGGGACAGTACAGGAGAAAATAGGGAAATGCTTTTACTGAGGCTATGGTGGATGCAGAAATAGTCTGTATAAACAACAGTAGGCCAACTAGAATGGCAATAGACCTAGTGATGCAGACATGTCTATTGATTTGGCTTTTGTTACCCAGTCAGCAGTGTCTTAGGCGATCATGGGAGTAGCCATTTGCCATGCTCAGTTTTGATTTCTAAAGCTAGCAAGATCAGGGTTGTGAGAACATGCAGGAATTTCTTTTAAGTATGAGAGGGACAGTACCTTTCTTGGACGCCTCCGACAGAAGGTATGCGACAGAACCACCTCCTTTCCTTTTGTTCAGCCTCCATGGTGGACCCAGGAAGTAGAACAAGCATGGACAGCATAGCGAGCAGCAGTTAAGAAATTACATACAGTGTGCAAGGCACCTCAGAGGTTACAAGAGGATGTAGAGAAGCTAGAAAGAAAAAGTAGAAGGATGCAGCAGATGCAAAAAAAGGCTAAAAGGGAACATTTTATGAGCAAAGATGGAGGGGATAAATCACTGGGTAGATTCTGGAAACTTCAGACAGATGCAAAGGAAGGATCGGCCAGTCATAACAGTGACAAGCCAATGACCGTAGACAAAGATAGGGAGCTTAGATAATCAGTTAAAAGTTAATCTGTCCAATACTATAAATGATAACTATTTTCAGGATATCATTAGGGTGGAAGATATAAAATATATGTTGCAAAAAACAAAAGACATTGCGCTGGGGCCAGACTGAGTCAGGTATGCCCAAAATGAAAAGTATAATAAGTGATGAAGAGTATAAGTGATGAAGACTTGAGGGAGATGGCTATCCGTTTCACCCAAAGCATTAGAACAGCTTCAGTACCCCAGGATTAGGTACACAGCTACCTAATCCCTCTTTCAAAACCAGGCAAGGATCATTCCAGACTCAGAGACTAATGGATTATCACCCTACAAAATACTTTTGGCAAGGTGCCAGAGAATACCAACTGGTTATGCAATAAAGTTCAGACAGAAATTTCTCTGCAACCTCATTCCGGTCCTTGCCCTGACAGTACACCAAAACACCATCCGCACATAATATCCTCCCTTGTCCTGTGATCTGTTCACCTGTGATTCTCACAGTGCAGGCATTGAATAATACTAGAGATAGGGCCCTTGTGGTATGCCAGGATGTACTTATGTTGGTTCACAGGCCCAGCTGCCATACTTAAATACTGCCATTCATTGTAGAAGGGCTGCAGAGATCCGCTGGACTGATTTGTAGTTCTAGTAGCTGAAACATTAGAAAGTCTAAAGGTACTCAGTTGTAAGCATCCTCGAGGTTAAAAGCAGCTGCATAGGTTTCAAAATGCCTGAATGGGACCCCTCATTTAAGTCATGGGCAAAAACAGCAGCATTACTCCAAGTTTCTCTGTGAGGGCGGTAGCCAAAAAAGGTAGGCGGAAAGACCCCTCTTCTTTCGAGCCGGCAGGATTTTTTTTTATCTTCTAGACCAGATTGCCTGTTAGTACTCTGCATCCCTGGATCTTTGTGTGGTCTTTGTCAGGCTTCCGGAGAGGTATTAAGCAGCTGTGTGTCCACTCTTCTTGGATTATTGTACTCTTAATGCTGTTGCTGTAAACAGTTGCCAGTTCCGATAGCTCCTTTTCAGAACATTTGCCCACATCTTTGTATTGTATGCCATATGGACCCGGTGCGCTGTTGTTTGCCCATCGTAGTGCAGCTTTAATCTCATCGACTGTCACTAGGTCCTCATTATCAGTTTCATGGGTCTTACACATATCTGAGATGGCTGTTCTGGACGTGTTGTTTCCTGGCTGGTTTCTCTAGTCGCTCTGTTCGAGATAGTGGGTGAAAAGAGCCTTGCCCTTATGTTTGTGCTGTCTGCCAGGCAAGGTCTGCAGTCTGGAAGTCAGGAATGCCTCTGCTATTCCCTGCTTTGTTCATACTCTTGTAGAGTCACCAGAACAGCTTCAATGACTTGTCTCGGCTCATCTGTTCACATAGTTCTACTGACTTCGCTAAGGTTTTGAAACTGTCTTTCTGTCGATGCCTTGTTTTAAAAACAGGATGAACTCTTTTTCTAGCGCTCTGCCACTTACTCACTGTGCATTGTTTGTCTGCCCAAACCTTTTCTACCTCACTGTTCTATCAGGGAGGTTGTCTCCAGCTATTTCTCTTGCTGCGTGGATTTCCCGCTTCAATCACCTTATTCTGCCCACCACACCTGCAGATTTAAAGGTCTTCGTCTTTTGTCTTTCTCCACCACTATGCTGCAGGGATGGTGATCACTGCCATGGTGTTCCAGGACACCCTGTCTGCACACTGTAGCTAGTGGTAATGCTGTCCTCTTCTCCTGGTCGACTTGCAATACTTGTGACATGGTCACTGTTGATGCACACAAGGTCGCTGGTTTCCAGAGCATCCTTGAGCTCGTCGTGTGGTAGAAGAAAAGTTTTCCTACATTCGCCTTTTTGCATTAAAATCACCACAGAAAATAATGTTTTCCTCATAAAACTCTATAATCTCACTGAGGCACTGCCATGTCTGGAAGTTTCCTTTCAAGGTACAGGCGTACAAATTAATCAACACAAAAGGATGCTCTGACAGAACTGTTATTCTCTGTATTTCTAGTGTGTCACTGTCCCAAAGAGATATGTCCATCTCTGTCGCAACAATGGTGTCACATACAAGGATGGCCATTTCCAGGTGTCCCCTGTTGTAGAATCAGAGGAAACCAGCCACGTTCAGTTTATCATCGCCTAGCCACGTCTCTTGAAGGGTTATAATGTCGGCACTGTATATGAGCCTTTCAATGACAGGCCCACACTGCTTTATGCTAGCACAGTTCCAGTATATAATTCATGTACGGTTAAGGCCCAAACAAACGTATTTGAGCTTTCTTCTTTGTGTTCTGGAACATTTACCTTTCCTTCGACATCTCCCTCTTTAGTGCTTTTCTTTCTTAACCGTAACAGTTTCGCTACACACAAAAAACACCACAAGCTAATGAAAACAACTCAAGAAGATTTCAGCCCAGGTGCACAAAAACTACGTAGCACCAGTGAAAATCTTGTCTTCCTGGCCTACATTCTAGCACAATTGTCTACATCCAAGTGAAGGAACTTCCATCGTTTACAATGCGAGAAAAAATGTACACATCGCGTCACCATATTTGACCAGAAAATGGAGCATGGTAGAAAGGCAAGGTATTCTCCAGCAAACTGTGCATCAAACTAATATAAGTAAAATAAATGTAAAACAGGACATACAGGAGACAGGCAAAATGTGAAGAGCTCAGTAGTTATCACTCTACAAAATATGGAAAGCCACCTCTTTATATATCTCCACCGGCCAAGAAAGAAGGTATCAATCAGACTCAGTAAGCGTACTTCATCCCTCCAGTGATGAAGTCTAAAATGCACCTGTAACCCACACAACTGCCTTACACAGCATGCTATGGAAAATAATATTCAAACTGATGTCCTACACACTGAGTAGTGTTTGTTGCTTGATAAGACATATCAGTAGCATATTGTGGATTTCTGCCCAGAATATTTAGGTGTGCTACTTCTGCTTCACTGTGTGGCAAGCTGAAGTATGGTAAAGTAGACATATTGCAACTGGCACCACCATCAGAATGGGAACTTTTT